AACTAAGAAATAATTTCAAACTAAGAAATAATTTCACTTCTAGTCTATCTAGGTTGTGATCAGCATTTACTTGTTTCATTCAAAAAAAAGTTGTTGGTTAGCTATTTTATACTGTAAGAAAATTAGACTCCTGGTATTCAAGGAAAGTTGTGTATGGTTCATATTATTTCCCTCCCCTCTAGAGAAATATAATACACATATTTAATTGTTCTTAATATGAGTGGTAACCACTTCCTTGATAAGAGTGATAATCATGCTACAACTCAAAAAATAGTAAGAACTCACTACGTTGTTCATTGAGCATGAAAGATGGACACTGCACTCCCTATGGAAACGTAGTCCTTCTGCATGATTTGTTAATAATCTTCTATAACATGGTGTGTTGAATTAAGACTTATGTTTCAACATTTTGTTGTTGTTCCTGTTGGGGTTAATTAATTGAGTTAGAAACCTTAATGTAACACTTAGGTTGGAGCCGATCATTATGGAGATTAAATACCCATCATTTTTGTCGTTGCCACTGCACATGGGAACTTTGGATGAAATATGTTTCCTATGAATGCTCCCTTCCACCATGAATTCTTCAGTGCAGTTGAATCAATGAATTTTCTTTCTTTCTTTGAGAGAATAGGCTAGAAGTTCTTACTTCTCTCATCTCTTAGTTATGTGTTCTAACTATAGATTTGAGCACACAAACCGGACCACCCCGTAAAAATAGTTGGATCATTAACTCATGGAATGGCATTGGCACTCAGGCTAGATAACAAGACATCAAAATAAGAAATGCCACCATGTCCAAATCAGCTAAAAACCAGTCCAATCAGTTGATTTATTTGCCGGTTGGTCTCAATTTTTTGCTGATTATTTAAATTTCTGCTTCAACAAATAACAACTTTTTTATATTCCTTTAAATTAAAAATGGCTTTTCAAAATTCACTTTAATGAAGCCAAGTTTCTTAGATCTCATATTCAATAAAACTTATCTTTTTAATTCTACTTTAATCAAGAAAAAAACTGCAAGATATTAATTTGACTCACCAATCCTCTTCAATGTTTGTTATGAATACTTTGTCATTTTCTTTATTACAGAGTTTAAGAAAACATGAAGATATCTTTTAATATTTACTCAAAATATATGAACCACAAGAATTTCGTAGTTGTCGACTAAGTCGACAAAAGAATGGGAAACTAAAAATGGGAAGAAGCCAAGAAGGGAGTACTAATATAGTTGTTAGAAGTGGTCATAGTAGTTAAGGGTTGTAGATGATGTAGCTTCCTAATTGTGTCTATAAATACATTATATCGTGCAATTGGAGACTAATCATGAAATAATACAAGACTTCTTCATCAAAATATCTTCTTTCTGTTTCTCTCTCTTCCTTAACTCTTTAGTTTCGTCTCGTCCCTGAGAGCGAAGCCATACTTTTCTTCAATTATAGCAAGATAATCTCATTGCAACAAGTGCATTATTGGAAATGCATATTATACCTTTAAAGTTTAAACCACAAATTCTATGGTACCTCCGGTTGTACCATTTTTCCAATACAACTTACTTCACATTGGCCCGTGGCATTGCATCGATAGAAGGGGAGGCCAAACCCTAGGTGCAACAAAGTGAAGCCCGGCGGAAATGATCGACAAGCACAGATGGGGAGGGGCGCTTAGCATTGTCGATTGAATGGGCGATCTCCTGCTGCGAGTGCAGAACCCTAGTGAAGTGAGAATAGGTTGCGATGTGAGAACAAACGAGCATTGATTTTGTTTCCTTGATTTGGTGACCAAAAGGGCCTTTGCTAGATGGCTGATTTAGCGTCGAAGGAGGAGGTTGCAATTTCCTTGACAGAAGGCTTCGATGATTTTTTACTTAACAGGGTGGTATGCACGCTACTTTACTTAAGAATGAACACTACGTTATTTGAGAATGAGCACTACGTTGTTTCAGAATGAACACTACATTGTTTCATAATGAACAATACGTTGTTCGTAAATGAAGTAATGAACAAATGTGTGAAAATGAACACTACGTTGTTTCAGAATGAACACTACGTTTATTCAAAAGTAACATTTGACGGGTAACTCGGCTCTAGGTACACCCTGTTGAATTGTATCCATTCTCCTTTAAACCTGGCAAACCGCTAACGAGCAACCCTACTAGTTGAGTTATGGGTAGGTTTCTTAAACTTTTTTTTATGGGTAGGTTTCTTAAACTTTGGTTGGAATATCACTGGCATATAAATGAAAACACACATTTCCGTGAAGGTAAGTAATCCATCAAAGCAGCTTTATAGCTTCAACCAAATACGGTGATCATGAAAAAAATCAATATTCTAAAAAAACAAGAACGGTAACACCATGTTATTAGCTATAAGCAACCTTTTAGCTATGCCGGAAGACTGGAGCCGGTTCCAGATTGCTCGAATACGGTCGGGTTTCTCGGGATGATCCTCTCCATCGGGGGTTGTGTGCTTACACATCCGGTCGTCGTAGACGAGGCCCACGCGCCGGTCACTGCGATTGGCGTGGGAGCTCATGGAGTCGTGTTTGTTGAAGGCTTCAGCTAGCACGGCGGTAGGTGAAATTTTTGAATACCAATTGAAAAGACAATACCAGGCAAATGGGTGTACTCACGCTGTGCCGTCACTGCCATATGGTATTCCACTATTCCCTAATTGGTAGTGGTACACTTACCCCAAAAATTGTACCTTATTTGTACTGCAATTATATATAAACATTTTGATGGTTTACACCGACACAAATGTTGGTACATTAACAAAAATTTAAACAGACACAAAGTATTGGTGCATTAACAAAAATTAGTTTTACACCAACACAAAATGTCAGTGCAAACCTACGGTGTACAAAATGGCTACAAAAGTTTGGGGTACAAAAGTTTGGGGTACAAATAACTTTATCCATTCCCTAATACTTTCTTCATCCTGTAATGTTTTTCCCACTTACTATTAACACAGTCAAACTTTAATCACTTTCTTTATCTATTATCATTAGGTATTTGATAAAATAATATAGTCTTGTCACCACTTGTTTTGTAGAACGTTTGATGTAGTTTTTAAATATATAAATTTTATTTTTTAATTTTACACCTACAATCAAATAAATTGAATTAAAAATAAAGTCGGTCAAACTTCGTAAACAGAACCGGAAAGAACATTATAGGACGGAGGGAGTACCTCTCTTCCAAGTTCCAACTCAGCTCAACCGAGTTTGGTTGAACATATTGTTAGAATAAAGGCCCAACGCTAGACGGGGGGTGAATAGCGTTTAAAACAAAATCGCAGGAAATTAAAAACGAGAGCGTTAAAGTAAAGAGCGTAAGGAAGGAGCACACCGAATTTTATCCTGGTTCACCACAACGTGTGGCTAATCCAGCCCCCCGAGAGACTCTCTCGAGCTACACTAACTCCGTTAAGCTTAAGGGTGCTTAACAAACCGATACATGAACTCTTGGGCTCAGTGTGCAGCCTCAACACCTTTGCTCGGAGATACCGCACTCCAAGACTTCTCACGAAGGAACAAGGAACTTCCTTCGATTTTACAACAAGGGAACAAACTCCCTTAATGTGTATGAAAACACTTAAACACTCAGGAATAAAACTCTCACAAAGAGTAGATATGAGTGAACTAGTAAACGCTCAATAACACGACAATTTCTTCAAGAATTGGCTCTCAAATAGCTAAGAAAATTAGGAATGATAATGAAATGAAAGAGTATTGAAATGTTGAAGAATTGTGTGTAAAATGAGAGGATTTGGGTGCCATTTTATAGCCCAAAATGGGATAAACTCGTTGCTAGAGTTTCCAACAGGATGAAGACAAATTTTTCAGGGACACAGGCTGATAGTCGATTATCCAAGCTTGATAATCGATTATCAAAAGATTCCTTGTCCAAAAATTTAAAATTCTATCCGTTGGAGGATAACGGTAACCCATATAATCGATTGTCAATAAGTGATAATCGATTATTGGTCCTCTCAGAAGAATCTGGGTTTTGGTTGCAAAGACTGATAATCGATTATTGCATAAGTGATAATCGATTATTGCGTGCTTCAGAACTTTGGAAGTTCAAAGCTGCAGGGGCTGATAGTCGATTGTCACTAAGGTGATAATCGATTATCACCCAGCTAAAGTCTAGCCAGCTGAAACCCGTTTTGAAAAACTGAGGTCCAAAAACGAAGTGTTCCCAAAAGTAAATACCAGGTTTGAAAAATATTGTATATGGTATAAAATAGTGAAAACAAGACTTGTTTGGTAAAAACCAAGTCTCCAAGGTCGTACATTACGTGCGTACGGTTTTGACCGTTTTCACGTGTTAGACCGATTGACCAAGATACAAAATGGTTTTTATAAAATAATTATTTGGGAACATTTTAAAAATGCTCAGAGGTAAAAACAGGGTTTAAAATATCAAAAACCACGGAGTTGGTTCGGGCGCCAAAAACCAAACGCCGAAAGCCGAACGCCAACTTAGGTGGTTTCGGAGCAAGGACCAGAGATTTTAACAATAAAAGAAATCATCATAAATGTTTGTTTTGATGCACAAAAAATATTTTATGATTTGTAAAAATTGTTTTGACTTTTTTTGAGAACCGAGACTTGAATTTGTTGTCGGTTTTGATCACAAAAGACCGACTCGACTAAGTCTTCAATTCTTGATCTTGTCCTTGAGTCTTTTTGGTCTTGTTCCAAGCCATTCTTCACGCCTTGAGTTATTCAACGAAACTCTTTATATCCACGGCGGTTTGGCAATTATCAAAACCTGTCAAAAATGAACACGACTTTAGTTTATCGTACAAAGTGTGTTCCAACAATTTCCCCCTTTTTGATAATGGCAAAAAAGATGGGGATATGCATAGGGTTTTGATCTTTTTGAAAAAAATACCTCCTTAATAAAAATTCCCCCTTAATAAAAAATTCCCCCTTAATATATGCATAGCCCTTATCTTTCCCCTTTTGACATTAACAAAAAGATTGTTAACAACAAAAAATCATAAAGATTTTTATTAATTAATTAAGGGAAATAGCGGAGTACATAACGAAAGCATATCAAAAGATGATAAAATAAGGAAGAGAAGAAAGTAGAGCTAGAGCTCTAGAAATTTGGTGAAAGATCATTGAGAAGTTGGTCTTCGTCAATGTCTTCTTCTTCATCGTCTTCATCTTCATCATCATCTTCGGCTTCTTCTTCCTCTTCCTCATCGTCCACCTCTTCATCTCCCCCAACGTTATTAGTCCCGCTTGGTGCATCCCTGACATTCGGTGGAGGAGCGTAGGGGACCATTTGAGCGTAAGGGTAATTGACAAAGTCAAAGTACCCGTGAAGCTCTCGGCTCAAAATATTTACATTTTGGGCCGTTTGGGAGACGTTGGTGTCAATCCGAGAGAGAGTGGCGGTCAAGGCTGCCATTTGCTCGGCGAGAGAAGGATTGGTCGAAGTGGTGGCGGTTGAGGCAGTGCCTCTCGGTTGGCGGCGTGGACGAGGCTGTCGAAACGGAGTCTCGTCGGTGCCCGAGTGGAAAGAGGATTCATCAATCTCCCAATGCTTTGTCCCATTTATCTTTGGCCCAACATCGGTTTTGATGTTATACTCTTCAAGAATCGCCATGACGAGGAGGGCGTAGGGGAGCGACCGGTTGTCGGAGGTGGCGGTGAACATGTGAGTCATCACAAATTTACACCAATTGAGATTGACGTTGTGAATCATCACATGAATTGTCTTCGTGTCCTCCTGGGAGAGAGTGGTGTGATTGAACTTCCTAGGCTTGAGAATCTGTGTCAAAACATAAAAAATGAATCGAAACACGGGACTCATGGAAGCAATCGTAGGGCGCCGCTGTTAGGGAGTGGGGACGAAGTTTCTGATGCCCACTTCCTCCAAGAGGGCGGTCTCATTGAACCGCGCTCCTTGTTCTCCAACGTAGAGCCCGAGATCCTGTCCGTCCCGACGAAGCCCTGTGAGAATTTGAATGTTTTCCTCATTCAAATAGATGTCCACCCCATTGACGTTAGAAATCAACGCTCCGTCCTCATCCTTGCTCAGGTTCGAGTAGAAAGCTCGAACAAGAAAAGGGTTATAATGAGCCTTCTTGATGTAGGGGAGGTCGAGGAAGTTTCCACGTTCGAGGATAACCCGTGCCTCACGTGGAATGGAGTCATGAATGAAGCGGGCGGTGGAGAATCGGGGAGGGAGAATTTCCCGGTGCTCAAACTTCTCCGAGAACCGCGTCGCCTCTGCGCGGTCGTTGAACCATAAGAAAGATCCGTCGAGGTATTGGTGCGCCGGTGGTGGATGAGCCGAGGAAGAAGCCATGTTCTTGCCGGTGCGGGATCTTTTTCTTTGACCTCCTGCCATATCAACAAAGAGTAGGGGGCAGAGCAAGGCAAAGAGAAAATTGCAGAAATTTGGAAAGAAAATAAAGAATAGGAGCAAGGATGATGAATTATGATGAATATATGGAGAAAGTATGATTCGAGTGAGTATAAAATGAATAGAGATCACCAATTTATAAAAGAGTGGGCTGGAGATCTGTTGGGGAGTTCAAAACATGCATTAATTGCTCTCCAAACGTCTCTGCAACGGTCAGATTTTTGAAAAATCGTCGTTGATAATCGATTTACACTCCCTGTAAATCGATTATCTCAGTCTTCAGATTCTCCGTCAAAGAAACTGCAGGCTTCAATAATCGATTTCTGCCTTGGTTGTAAATCGATTGTTGGAGAGGATTTGCCTCAAATTTCTGAAGGCTTTAATAGTCGATTTACATGTTTTTTGTAAATCGATTGTTGATGTCTCCAGCTAAGTTTCCTCAAACTCCTGCAGGCTCAGATAATCGATTATCTCAATGTTGATAATCGATTGTTGGCTCCTTCAGTTTCTTTGCTCCAACTCCTGTGGGTTGTGATAGTCGATTATCACAGGCCTGTAAATCGATTGTTCACATTCCCCCTGACTTTGACACCTGAAAATAAAATTAAAAGAAGAGCCGTGCAAAAAAAATTGAAAACGTCTCCGACGTTCAAGTTAGTAAGGATCAAAAATGATATTTAATGCACAACTTAGATCATCGTGGAGTCAAGGATTCCGAGTTCACTACGAATGCAGAAGAACGACTCTTTCTCTAAAGGTTTTGTGAAAATGTCGGCTAATTGGTTGTGTGTTTCAACGAACTCAATTTCGACATCACCTTTGAGAACATGATCTCTAATGAAATGATGCCTAATGTCAATATGTTTCGTCCTTGAGTGAAGAACCGGATTCTTCGTCAAGCTTATGGCGCTAGTATTATCACATCGAAGAGGGACGTGATCGATACTAAGGCCATAATCCACAAGTTGTTGCTTCATCCAAAGGATTTGAGCACAACAACTACCGGNCCTGAAAATAAAATTAAAAGAAGAGCCCTGCAAAAAAAATTGAAAACGTCTCCGACGTTCAAGTTAGTAAGGATCAAAAATGATATTTAATGCACAACTTAGATCATCGTGGAGTCAAGGATTCCGAGTTCACTACGAATGCAGAAGAACGACTCTTTCTCTAAAGGTTTTGTGAAAATGTCGGCTAATTGGTTGTGTGTTTCAACGAACTCAATTTCGACATCACCTTTGAGAACATGATCTCTAATGAAATGATGCCTAATGTCAATATGTTTCGTCCTTGAGTGAAGAACCGGATTCTTCGTCAAGCTTATGGCGCTAGTATTATCACATCGAAGAGGGACGTGATCGATACTAAGGCTATAATCCACAAGTTGTTGCTTCATCCAAAGGATTTGAGCACAACAACTACCAGCGGCAACATATTCCGCTTCGGTTGTGGATAACGCAACACTGACTTGCTTCTTGCTAAACCATGAGACTAAAGAACTACCAAGCAAGTGACACGTCCCACTCGTACTTTTACGGTCTAACCTACAACCGGCAAAGTCCGAGTCGGAATAGCCAAGAAGATGACAAGGATACCCTTTGGGGTACCATAGTCCAACGTTCATTGTACCAACAAGATATTTCATTATCCGTTTCACCGCCGTTAAGTGTGATTCTTTCGGACAAGATTGATACCTTGCACATAAACAAACGCTAAATATGATATCGGGTCTACTAGCGGTAAGATAAAGAAGGGATCTGATCATACCTCGATACTTCTTTACGTCTACTTCCTTACCCTTTTCATCTTTGTCCAGGTGCTCGGAGGTGCTCATTGGGGTAGCCATTGCTTTGGAGCCATCCATTTCAAATCTCTTTAGAAGCTCCTTGCAATACTTTGATTGACAAATGAAGGTCCATTCCCTCATTTGTTTGACTTTTAACCCCAAGAAGAAATTGAGTTCCCCCATCATGGACATCTCAAATTCATTCGTCATTAAGTTTGAAAATTCCTTGCACAAAGATTCGTTAGTAGCACCGAATATAATGTCATCTACGTAAAATTGCACCAAGAGGAAGTTATCGTTTTTACTCTTGATAAAAAGTGTAGTATCTATCTTCCCCCTTTTGAACCCGTTGTCCAAAAGAAATTTGCTCAAACGCTCATACCAAGCACGAGGTGCTTGTTTAAGACCGTAGAGTGTTTTCTTTAGTTTATAGACATACTCCGGGTGCTCAAAATCCTCAAAGCCCGGGGGTTGATCAACATACACTTCCTCTTGAATAAAACCATTGAGGATGGCACTCTTAACATCTATTTGGTATAGCTTAAAATCCATAGATGAAGCAAAAGCGAGTAATAAGCGAATAGCTTCTAAACGTGCTACTCGTGCATAAGTTTCTTCAAAATCAATGCCTTCTTCTTGATTGTAGCCTTTAGCTACGAGCCTAGCTTTGTTTCTAGTGATTATTCCATTTTCATCGAGTTTGTTACGGAACACCCATTTCGTACCAATTATGGTGTGATCATCGGGTCTTGGCACCAATTCCCAAACGTCGTTTCGTCTGAATTGGTTAAGCTCCTCTTGCATTGCCAAGGTCCAATGTTCATCATCAATTGCTTCCGAAATGGTTGTAGGTTCAATTTGAGAGACAAAAGCCATGTGACCTACAGTGTCCCTAAGAGAGCTACGAGTACTTACCTTTCGGTTGATGTCACCGATCACCTTGTCAAGAGGATGGTTCTTTGAAGTCCTCCATGCCCTTGGCATTAGCGTTTCCTCCTCTTGTGGTTGTTCCTCGTTTACGGGTGGCTCTACTTCTTCATCTTGGCTTTCCTTTGAGTTGTCTACTTCATCATTGTCGTTGAGATAGATGTTTTCCAACGAATCTATAAGATCATCACAAGAAGCCTTTCTCGCCAAGCGAGCATCATTTTCGGCAAAGACAACATGAGGAGATTCCTCAACAGTTAAGGTGCGTTTGTTGAAGACTCTATAAGCCTTACTACGCAATGAATAACCAAGAAAAATTCATTCATCCGACTTTGCATCAAATTTACCCAAATTATCTTTTCCGTTATTGTGAACAAAACATTTGCAACCAAAGACTCGAAGATGGGAGAGGTTTGGCTTTCTTCCTTTGTATAATTCGTATGGGGTTTTCATTAGTTGGAATTAATAAAGTGAATCAACTTCCCCCTTAATTGATGCTTCACCCAATTATGTGCTTGGTGCATCTACTTCAACTCAAGTCAAAGTGTTCAAGCACACCTTCCTTAATGAATCGACAAAGAAAATCTTGGTACCCAATGCCTTTTGGGTCCAGGGGTATTATGGCAATAATAAAAATCATATGAACGATGCATCACATTCTCTTGACTTAGAAGCAAGTGCTTATACTTAGTGAAACAAAGTGGTGAGATGTGTCTTACTTTATTACAATAATGACACCTAACACTAGGGTTGTTCATGTTTCTAGGACGTGTGATGTGCTTTCTAGGTTGTCTATCAAACTTAGAATTCCTAGAATGACTTAGATTATTTCTAGGTGATCTATAGTATTTAATCTTAGAGGTAGATTTTAGTCTAAATTCATTTTCAACTTTCTTCATATCTAATTTCAAATCGTCTACCTCTTTCTTAAGTGCTTCTATCTCAAGACTAGAAGACCTACATGAAGAACAAGGTGAATCATTTAATTTCAAATTAGTCTCCTTAAAAGTCTTATTTTCAATTTTGAGGGAATCAATTTCTTTTAGCAAAATATTATTTTTCTTTTGCAAGAGGGTGATTTTATATTCCAAATCTTTGGCAATAGATGAGACTTTCTTAAATTCTTTAAATAAATCACCAAATGCTTCTTGTAGTTCTTCAAAACTAAAAGGATCGTTAGAAGAACTTACCTCTTCGGATTCACTTTGAGCCATAA